AGTTACATTTAATTATGTGTGAGTTATATCTAATTATTTATGATTTTTTACATATCTTTATCTTGAACTAATTCAATTATAACTGAATTAATTTTTTTCTTTGCCAATTTAATACAAAATTTTATTAATCCACATAAAATAAGTATATTGTATTTCATATTCATACACTATTTTTCAAATGATAAAATGAAAGATGTAGCAAGGTTTATTTCGTGGTGTAACTCACATACATTAAGATGTAACTCGCGTATATTAAGATGTAACTCGCGTACAATAAGATGTAACTCACGCAGAAGAAGATGTAACTTCATGATATATTATCAAATGTAACTTCCAAATAATTTGTTAAAATTACATAAGCAATATTGGTCTCATTTGATAGATCATGAAAAATAAAAAAATTGATATAAAATTTATAAAAATCAGATATCGAATAAAAAAGTTATTACAATTTTTAACAATAAAAGAAATAAAAGATAATGGAATGAAACTGCAGCTGCGTCGTTTTGAATGAAGTCAGCGTCGTTTTGCTACCGGGCACATCATCCTCATGGTGCGCCGATTGCACGATATAAATTGCCAACAGCTACTGTCTTTTCTTTTTAAGATCTTTGTAGTCATTAAAAGCTAACAGTTACTAAAAAGCTCATAAAAGTATTTTTTCAGCTAGTTGTGCCAAACATAGCCGTAATTTAGCTAATTTGAAATTTAATTTCTATCGGATCACATATAATGTGATTTAAAAGAAAAATAAACTTAGTCTAATATAGAGTTTGTTTGATAATACTAAAGTAAATAGAATTAACTTATTTTGCTGAAATTGATTGAATTCTAGTTAAATAGGTGGAATCTTCTGAATCATGAAAAATATATGTGAAATATATTCCATTTGTGAAACAAAGAAAAACATATATGAAAAAAAGTTAAATTGGTCTTCTACATAAGCATCTCAAGTAAACATAATTGTTATGAACCCAATAATAAAAAAATTCTATATTTCTTAATTGTTAGATCTTACAGTTTACACATTAATAAGAACGTTTTTAATTGAATTAAAATTTCGGGTTTGATTTGGTATAAATTAATATGGTCTATTAGATGTCTGTTTTTTATGTGACTTATTGTTATAATTATTAAAGTTTGATCTGATCTGATTTAATCTGGAACTGAAATCAATCCAATTAAAAACATTCTATTAAAATAAAAGTAGGAATTCGTAAACCTATAAAGATTTTCTAATTTGGGTTAGGAATCTATTTCAAAAGTGAAGGCATATTTGAATTTTAGGTGTAAAATAAAGAAACAACCAAAAAAATTACTTATTTGGCTAAGCTAAACATATTTACTTGTGAAAATATATATACTCTATGTTGATTATAATTTTTAATTTCATTTTTAATTATTTACTTATTTGAAGCTTACTAAGTTATTAATAGGTGTCAAATTAATAAGTAAACTAATTTGCATATTTGTTTCTATTTAATTCGGTGTAGTAAACAAATATAAATTAGTTTCCATATCAATAAACGTTATTAGAATTTCACTTTGATAACCAAAAATTATTTTACTTATTTGAAGCTTACCAAATTAATTAAGGTGGATTTATAAGGATTTTTGTTTCCATATCAATATGTAATCAAAAATAGAATCTAATAAAAACAAAACGTATAAAAATAAGTAAATAATTGTTATATATATAATGACATGGCAGGATTATGTGGCGGTTTGTATGCTCTTAAAATGTTCCTCTTATATATATATATATATATATATATATATATATATATATATATATATATATATATATATATATATATATATATATATATATATATATATATATATATATATATATATATATATATATATTGATTATTACGTAATGCAAAACCAAAACAAATACTCGAAACAATAAATTAAAAATAATAATGATTCGTACGATTTCAAATTACAATTCATGTTACATAAGGGTGTTTTTACTTGGATTGCAATTCGTCCCAGACCAGATCAGACCAGACCAGACCAGTTCAGACCAGACCAGACCAGACTTGGATAGTTATAAAAATACAAAGAAACCAGACCAGACCAGACAAGATCAGTTCAGACCAGACCAGACCAGACCAGCAAATTACAGTCCAAGTAAAAACATCCTAAGAATACAAAAGAACAATAACTGCTTCAAGCTAAAAGGAGTAAAGGACAATTACTAAAAATGAATAAAAATGATAATCATGTTGGAAAATGTGTTAAGAAATTGCATTAAATGGTCATTTTGGGGCAATTATTTGAGTGGGATCCACTTCCGATTTGGGTCGGGTCAAAGTGGTTTCGGATTGTCCTTGCTAAGGGCTACAATTCGATATGTGGTACACTCAAAACGGATAACGGGTGAATGAAAAATTGATTCTCAAAGTTCACTCGTTGAAATGCTCACGTCAGGTGGCTGCTCTCCGAGCAGGCGGCTCGCGCAGCAGGTGGTTGCTCGACCCTTTTGCTGCCGTTACAAGCCAATAAATGCTCAACGTTCATGCAATTAAACGGACAGTTACGGACCATTCAATGCCAACGTGCTGGACATTGATGTCCAATGGTAATGTCCATTAAAAACGTAATTAACGCACAACAAATCTTCCCTATATAAAGGCTGACAGGTGGTTTGCAAAAATACAACGCACAATACATTCCTCACGAATTTCTTAAGCTAAAAATACCTCCAGCTCTCCCTGAAAAATTCCTTGATGTTCATACTTGTTCACGTTCGCCGGAACAATTTGTTTGAGTGGTCAAACAATTGTTCGTAGTCATCGTATCCTGTGAGACGATCGTTGCAACGCTCCTAGTACCCCGGGAGGCAACGAATATGTTTTAAGGACATCGTGCGTTGCACGAGCTTTAGCTAATTTTGCTTCATCTATTTTGTGTGTTTCTTTAGTCATTTTAATTAATTAATTTTATTAATTATTTCTTTGTTTTTCGAAACACACCCAACAAATCATTCATCTGAGTTCAAAGGACAATTCGTACTGTCGTGATACCCTTTTTTATTACATTTTCTACATAATCTCATAGTCTTTTGGCTCACTTCAATTGCCTTCTCCTTGCCACCATTAATCCTCTTACCGCAACCCTTATTTCGAGCCTGCTGAGGTGGATGCACGCTAACTTGTGTAGGAATAGGTGACCCATAAAAGCCTTTTATAACATCACTTTTTGAAGATGCTGCTGCACTACTTGGTTGAGAGCTAGACAATAATTCTGATGGAGTATATAGACTCGGACCCCCGGGTCTCATGATTATTGGGCTCGGACAGCAGCCCACTCACGCTTATCGAATGTCATTTATAGCATCTGACTATTGGAGTATAATTCTTTTTGCACCTTAATAGCACTGAAACAAGTGTGGTTGATGCTCAATTAGGGATGGATTCGGGCCGGGTCGGGCCCGGGTCGGGCCCGGGCCGGGCCGCCGGTTCGTATCACATGGGCCCGGGACCGGCCCGAGGGTTGGACGGGTCCGGTTCGGGCCGGGCCACCCGCCCGGCTCACGGGTCGGGCCACCCGCCGGGCCGGGCCGGGCCGGTTAAATATTTTTTTTTATTTATTTATATTTTATACTTTATAGTTTTATACAAGTATTAAAAAACAAACTTCAAGTGCATTTATTTGAAATGAAATAGGAACTACATTTGAAAATTAAATAGGAACTATAATTGTTTTTAATCGGAATCTCCGGCATAGGTAGAGCCACCCTCGGTTGTAGATTCATCCATAAAGTGTTGGGATGGGGTGATGTCAATTTCTTGAGCTCTACGGGCTGCTTTCAACCAATCGTGGTAGCATATAAGCATCTCAAGAGATTCAGCGCTCAACCTCGTTCTGGTTTGTGTTAGGACATTGCCGGCCGAACTAAATTCTTGTTCCACGGCAACCGTTGAAACCGGCATTGATAGCACTTGCTTAGCCATCTTTGCTAAAACCGGGAACATTCTTTCTTTTCCCTTCCACCAGTTTAGTACGTCAAAATCATCATCTTCTTCAAAATCAACATCATAAGTTAAATACAAAGAAATCTCATTAATTGTGCTTTGTTGTGTAGCGGGAGTTGATTTCATTTTTTTAATAAGATTGGCAAACGTAGATTTGAAAATTGATTTTCCTTTAGATGATGTTTGTGTCGGGGGAGGGGGCGCATTGCCATATTGTGCATGAAACTCATTGAATAATGCATAAAATATATCACTAACCTCGTTGTGTTCTTTTTTCGGATCAATTGGGTTGTCCTCATACATTGGCAATGGACCAAAAAAAGCAGCATAATAATAATTCAAACATTCTTCTAAAGAACCAAGTCTAAAACGAGGATCGAGAACAAATGCAATACCATAAATATGCGGAATATGTGAATAATATTTTAAAAACTTTTCCTTCATAAAACTAGCAAAATAACTCACATAATCAGCATTCTCAAAATTTATAGATATAATAAATATATAAGTAATATATAATTAGATAACAAATATAAGTAATATAATACTATTTATATCTATTTATAGTTTATATAAGTAGATAATTAATATAAACTATAAATAATAAATATAATATATTGGAGAATGGAGAATAAGAGAATTAGAGAGTAGAGAGTTAAGAATAGGATTTAGGAAGAATTGGAGAAGAGATATGAAAAAATGTTTAAGATTAGGAGTATTTATAGGATTTAGGAAGAATTGGAGAAGAGATATGAAAATTTTTAATTAACCATGATGTACGTATTCTGAACAGGTCCGGTTCCCATCGCATTCTAGACCCCGAACCATCTGGGTCCTTCAGAATCATTTATAGGAACCAAGTCCGGGGCTTATAATTCCGGTTCTGGTCTGGCCTTGGGTAACTTTGAAATGAAGAGGGGTCCTCCTAAGCAGAACCCGATCAGTTCCGGTGTGGAACCGTGACCAACGGTGTCTGTAGGCATGACTCGCATAATAAGTAATTTACAAAAGAGCTGAAAAAATAAGCTAAATCCAACATTTAGAAATTGTGATGATTGATGGAGTGAAAAATAATGGCTAATAGTCTTGTTTGGCCTTGAACAATTGAGAAACTGGTTATAAACTTATAAACACCTATTCGTCGTCTTCATTCGCGTTAAGGGTACAAATGATGAGAAAGGCTTTTCAAACAAATGCATATTTCTCCATGCCAATATTCTTTCCAAACAATGTCAGCTTTTCATGGAAAAAACCTCCATAAAATGTACAGTTTGAAGTAAAAATGCACACTTCAAATTGTGTTGGGAGGATCTCTGCCTAAAGGGAACACAGGTGAGGCCCATAAGATCTTTATCACTCCTCTAGGATTGCACGTCCCAGGTTAGTAGCAAGGGCCAATCTAACAGAACCCAATGCATCTGGTGGCAAGTCGCTTTCTACAAAATCGGGGCGCACTTTTGCCATACAATATTCTTGCATTTTAGTCAAAAGCAGGTTAGTCTGAGAGACATTAAACAAATGATGCTCCTTCCAGTTCAGCAAATTCAGCTGCACAAGTTAAAAAAATGATGCCCATATAATTAAAAAATAAGAAATCGCTGTTATGGATTTAAAAGCCAAATCAAATATATATCCATATAATCCGCAAACATATGACTTATTTTGTCAGTTAAGTCTTGGAATGGTCATTTTTCCCACAAAACACAAAACAAAAATGCATTGGGCTCATGTTTTTTGAGGTAAAGCAGCTGGCACATTTGGTTCTAAACTATTCTCCACTTGGACGTGCCTACTCATGTCAAGCCCCCCTCCTACATGCTCCCCATCAAATTACCTATATGCTCAGCCCAACCTCACCTAGGACCCCCCAAGCTGCTACTCCCAACTCCCAAGTCTCCCAACCCACCTAGCGCTTTTTAGATAATTATTCGTTGATAGTATTGAGTGAATCATGAATAAGCTATATACATTTTCTTAACTCATCATTATCATTACCCCAAAGATAATGATGGAGCCAAAGATTCATTATTTTTTGGCTTGAGATTATGATGGAATAAAGCAAAATGGCTCACTAAACTGTCTACGCTTCTTTGTTATGAAGCAGCAGTCAGTCCATGCAATTTTGGACGGGATTTTCACTATGGGTCATCCGGAAACAGTCTCTCTGTGCTTTAGTACAGGGGTAAGACTGCGTACATCCGACCCCCCCCCTTACCCCACCGTAGGTGGGAGCCTTTGCGGCACTGGAGTAAATGAAAATGATGATGAAATGATCATTATCATTACCCCAGTGCCGCAAAGGCTCCTACCAGAAAGGGGGGTCGGATGTACGCAGTCTTACTTCTGTGCTACAACACAAAGAGACTGTTTCCAGATGACTCATAGTGAAAATCGCGTCAAAAATTACATGAACTGACGGTTGCTTCATAACAAAGAAGCGCACACAATTTAGTGAGTCGTTTTGATTTATTCCATCATATTCCCAAGCCATTTTGATTTATTCAAAACATTTTCTTAACTATTTAAAACAAAAAAAAAATTGCCACTGAAAAAGGAAAAGAGCAATCACTCACCGAAATGTGCAGGAGAGGGAGCAAAAACTGTTGAGGTGTGGAAGGGTTTTTCATCAGCTGCAAGTTAACACAAAATATATATTTATAAAGAAGCACGTCATCACTGGTCATATAGGAGACTACTATCTAAATCTAAATAGCATTATTTATAAAAAAGCGTGTTGAACATACTGATATTAAGGCTTCAGCGGCTTTCCTGCCAGCATCAGTGGATGTATTGCCTTCAGCCTGCACAAGACATTGCCTGAAATTCCTATACCTGTAAACATCACAAGAAGCTCTATAAAAACACATCATATCAATATAAGATACACCCTCTAGCTCAGTTTAATGTCTTATTTACTATACATTGATCAAACTGCATTTCTGTTCATAGCTTATTTTCTTTATTATTGTATGAGAAGCAGTGTTCTAAAAGGCTTAAAAAGGCGCCGCCAAACGCCCCGCACAGCCACTAGGCGCGGCTAAAGGCGTTCCGATTTACTCGAACCCCCAATTTAGGCACGCCAATAGCTCGTTCCAGACTAATAAGGCTTGTGTATTGTCAAAGGCGGCGGAGACTAATTTATAGAGCATCCTAAAGAGGGATTCTCCTCTTCCCACCCGTGTGGGACAAACTCATGAGTAAGAAAAAAAGATTTCCAACTTTTCAACGTAGGTTGACTTCGTAGTTCGTACAGACTAATGGCCTGTGGTTCCAATTTGTCTACAAGCCCAATTGTTAAACTATTGAATTGAACGTTTCATTCATTTACGAAGTAATAAAATTATTATTCTAAATATGCTAAAACAGTAAACAACCATTTATTATTATTATTATTATTATTATTACTATTGTTTTATTGCTATTATTATTAGCATTAACATCATCATCATTTTTGTAATCATCATGATTATTATTTTTTCATACAACTATTTTATTCAATTCTAATTTTTGTGTAATAGATTAGTCTGTATTTGTGAGATTTACGACTTTTGAGATAAATGTTTATTGGTGATTTGAAAAGTATGATGTTCTTGTATGGCACTATCTTTGTCCAAATAAAGTGGTGCGATTATTAAGAAAAGTAAAGTAATGTAATTAGTATTTGACTAGTAAAATGTGAATAAAATAATAATGAATTAGAACTATGCAAATATTATCAAATATGTTATGAGACTAATTTAATGAGATGGGTAAAACCGTAAAAAGGAAAAAATAGGTAAGATAGTCGGACAAGGAAGTATTGTTTAGTACTACGTATTAAATTTACATATTGAAAAATAGAAATAATTTCAAATATTAAACCAAAATATATGTAGTGGATAAAAATGTCACTCTAATAACTTTAGTGACTGATTATATTTAAATGTTACATAGTATATCATAGTGACAATAAAACTTACTCATAGTAACTTATAATCACATTTTTTGTCCATAGATTTTTTAATAGAAATATTTTAGAAAAAACCTCTTAAAAATAATTCTAGAAAAATTAAAATAAAGGGGAAAATACCGAAACACCTTTTCACGCCTACGCCTTGCTTAAGCCCGTCTAGGCTTCAAAGGCTTAAGGCTTGAGTGTGTCGCCTCGGCACGCCATACGCCTTTTAGAAGTAATAATTATGCCCTACTTGTTTCATAGTAATTTTATGAAAAATTAAAATTTGAAGAGTTTATTTTCTAATCTTAAACTAAATATTACAAAATTGAACAATTAAATGAATATATTTTAAGTCATGCACTCCTGCCTAATTGCAGAGAGGAGGACGCATATAATGGGGTGCAGGGAGTAACAAACATTGATAATTTGATAAGAACACATATTATTGAAAACAAAGGTGATCAATGATTACTTGTTCAAAAACTCAAGACCGCCCATAGTCCTAGACTCTGAACCCAGCAATTCAATTAGTCCTTCCCATTGCTGTAGTAAAATTTGGAGAACAATGACAGTTAGATGTGGTGAGATGAAATGAAATTCATCTGGTGAGACATAAGCAACCAAAAGAAAATCATATTAAACATTTACTACCTTGAACCCTTCATTAGATACCGACTTCCCAACAAAATCAAATAATTGCTTTGCAATTCTGTTGAGGCGAACTTCATCCTGAACTTGCTGGAGCCAGAAAATTGCAGAACCTTTCTTTCCATGTTTCCAGTAGTGGACTCCAGCGATCTGTGGCATTGATATAGGCATGTGCATGTTCAATAAAATGAGAATAAAATCATCTGCATAGCTCTAGAAAAGTATTTGCAACCATGAAAATACATTTATGGTATACATTATAGTCACTAGTCAATTAGCTCAGGCAAGGCTAGTCACAATTTGCATCACAACATACCTTCATTAAATTTGAAGCCGCATTGTTAAGTTCATACAGACGGCAGATCTCAATGCTCTGGGGAAAAAATCAAATTATCTTTAAAAGCCATTAAGACTCCATCACGAAACTCATCATCTTCGAAACTATTTTTTTATAATGTTATGTTCATACAGATGACAGATCTCAATGCTCCAAAAAAATTATCTTCCCAAGCCATGCACACTCCCGTCACAAATTTTATCTATTTTAGAAACTGATATTTTTTTTTGGGGGGGGGGATTGGGGGTTCTAATACTGAGTGAAGAGTCTCAGAGGAGAAAAGAAAATAAAGCAAACAATATGAGACCTTCAGTAGAACTAGGTGCCATTGTACAGGCTGCTTGTACAACAGATTTTCCAACAAGGTGACACCCAGCTTCATACATGATGTCAAGTAGATCGGTGCAATCTGCAATTATATCAAGAAAGGTATTTGGAGAAAGATGCAGTTATGTCAATAACAAAGCCAAAAGCATCATATAAACAGAAGAACTGATAAAACAAAGACCACCAAAATGTCCTGAAGTAAAGACATATTTGCTTACAGATATAAGAGATAAAGTCAGGCTAACCTGCCAAGTCAGCACATGAGATGATAGAACTTCAGCATAAACAAGTCGATGGAGCTCTTCTAAGCTAATACCTCCAAGTTTAGGTTGTTCTTCATGCAAAAGGATTTCTGCTTGAGTACTCCCAGCTGTTAACAGTTCTATTGCATGTGTCATCATCCTTTTTAAACATGTGAAAATAAGAAGCATCAAGTAAAAAAACATATATTCACACATTAGATTACTAAATACTAATATGTTAAATGTAATCATTATGTTGATGTTCTCAATATATTATACATATACAGAGTCCAAATTAAAACATTAAGATATCCAAGTTATACAACATCAATATGAACAATCAACTAGGAACTTCTATATGGTCCAACGAATTCTATAATCTTTGTATGATGCTTTCATCACGTCATAACTCAAACAGTTTCCTTGTGATGTCTAGATGAGTTTCATTACATATTGGTATCGTTTGGATGGAATAGATGACACATGACTGAATTGAATTAGTGTCAATTGTATTACTTGGAATTGTACTATGGGATTTTAGATCAATCACGACTAGAATGATGACCCATCCGATTAAGAAAAGCAAGGGTTCTCTAAATTTTGGGACTTCATAAAAGAAAATTGCTACAAGTAGGAGTAAAAAAAAGATGGTCCTAGACACTCCTAGTTGAAGAAATGTGTAATATTCTACTGAAGGGACTCGTAATTCTTCTCGCACGTGTTATCACTGTGGAGCTGAGGGTCATGTGAAGAAGAATTGATGGAAATTACATGGCCGTCCACCACAGACATCTGGACAGTTTCCTCCCACGCATGATGCTAATACGGTTATCCAGGATGGTATCCTACCAACTCCTTCCACCGTTACTATCTCAGCCGATGAATATGCTCGGCTACAACAACTTTCTCTCACAGCCTCATCTGCCACCACACAAGTTGATACAAGTAATCCTGCTGCATGCTTCTCTACATCATCACGCAATTGGGTGATCGATTCTGGCGCAACGGACCATATGACTGATAATGAAAATATTTTGGATTCATTTACCTCTTCTGCTAACCAGTCTATTGTTACTTTAGCAAATGGATCAACCGCATCTGTCAATGGCCTTAGAACAACAACCCTTTCTCCAAACCTTTCTCTAAACCTTTCTCTATCTTCTGTTTTATATTTATCTCAATTTCCGTTTAATTTAATCTCAGTCAGTCAGATTACTAAAGCCCTAAACTGCTGTGTTATTTTCTTTCCCACTCATCGTCTTTTTCAGGATCTTGGGACGAAGCAGATTATTGGTAAAGGCAGACTGGTTAATGGCTTATATGTTTTTGAATCCTTGGTGCCGAGATCAGTTGCATGCACAAGTTCGTCTCTGTTGAAAGTTCACTGTCAATTTGGTCATCCATCTCTTTCTGTACTAAAAAAATGTGTCCTAGTCTGTCACGGGTTTAGAACAACTTTCCCTCCTCGAATAAATAAAAGTGTTGAGTCTAGTTTTGATTTAGTTCACACTGATGTGTGGGGTCCTTGTCCTGTCGTTTCCAAACTTGGTCATCGTTATTTTGTTACATTTGTGGAGAATTTTTCACAGGTTACTTGGCTTTATCCTTTGAAATCCCGTTCAGATGTGTTTACTGCATTTTGTACCTTTCATGCTGAAATTCAAACTCAATTTAATAAGAATATATGCATTGTGAGAAGTGATAATGCTAAAGACTATCTATCTAGCACTTTTCAGACTTATTTATCTTGCCATGGGATTTTACACCATCTTCTTGTCCCTATACACCTCAACAAAATGGTGTAGCTGAACGAAAGAATTGTCACCTACTAGAAGTAGCTTGAGCCTTAATATTTCACATCGGGGTTCCTAAACCATTTTGGGTAGACGTTGTTTCCACTACGTGTTACCTTATCAATCGTATGCCTTCTTCTGTTCTTCATGGTCAGATTCCGTACTCCGTTTTATTTCCCTCTCGGTCCTTGTTCTCTCTTGTGCCTCGTGTGTTTGATTGCACATGCTTTGTCCAGGATATACGTTCCCAGGTCTCAAAACTTGATCCTAAATCAATCAAGTGTGTTTTTCTGGGTTGTTCCCGATTACAAAAAGGATATCGATGTTATTCTCCTTTATTGGGACGGTATATTATCTCTGCAGATGTCACACACATTTTTTGAAGAAACGTCCTTCTTTCAGCATAGTTCATCTTCATCCCCTTCTTTGGAATACCGTCATTTTCGGTACGGTATCATACCGTACCGATTTATTTCAGTACGGTAACGGTAAATGTTTTCAAATACTGCGGTATACCGATATAATACCGTACCGACTCCCTACCCAACAATTACTTTTAAGTCTAGAATATTGTAAAAGTCAATTACAATTTTGAAGTCCAAAATTAATACTTACGTTGGTTAATTACAAATCTCTAATGACTAATCAGTAATGTACTAATATCCAAAAACAAGTTCATCTTGTTCCAAGAGCTTGCGAGTTGCGATGGTTGAGTCGCTGAGTAGCTCATGAGTGAAGAGGGATACACTTATGTGACCGGTGTATCTACATAGGGATTCCACGAGTCGAGGCACACAGCTTTGTCTGAAAGTCTTATTCATTTTTTTTAAATTATAAAAATGACTAAATGCACAATATCATACGTAGACACGTAGTATTAGGAATAAATGATTTTATATCCATGTTGTTTGAATAATTTTATTTATTATTGTTAGAGATCACTATTCATTTAATTATATCTATATCGTTCAAGTTATTTTAGGAGAATGTGTTATTTTTTAATACATGGCATGTTGAACTACTTAAATATACTAATAATAATTAATGTTCAATATTAAAATGACATCAATAGATTATTATTTGTATTTGTAACATTTTAATTATGGATTAAATATGTTACTAGTAACACCGATTTAGCATATTTCGTTAGTCTATGATAATTTGTTGAATTGGGAGACATGCATGATAATTTACCGATACCGTACCGTTACCGAACCGAAACTTCGGTATACCGAAATGCGGTATACCGAAACTTCAGTAAGGTAACGGTATATAAATTTTGCATACCGAAAGTTTTGGTACGACAAAAGTATGAGAGAAAATATTCGGTGTGCCGTACCGAACCACCCCTACTTGGATATCTTCCACCCGATAACAAAGCTATTGGGTGTAAATGGGTGTTCACTGTCAAAATGAATCCTAATGGTTCTGTTGCTCGTTTAAAGGCACGGTTAGTAGCTAAGAGTTATGCTCAGGCATATGGTATAGATTACTTTGACACTTTCTCTCCTGTTGCCAACTTACATCCATTCGATTGTTTCTCTTTGGCTGCTACTTACAATTGGACACTCCATCAACTTGATATTAAAAATGTCCTCTTGAATGGTGACCTTAGCGAGGAAGTATACATGGAGCAACCACCAGGGTTTCTTGCTCGGGGGGAGTCTGGAAAGGTATGTAATTTAAGGAAATCGTTGTATGGTCTCAAACAATCCCCGCGAGCTTGGTTCGGCCGTCTCATTGCTGCAATATTTAAATTTGGCCTATGCGGGAGTGCCTATGATCACTCAGTTTTCTTCTCTACCTCAAATTCTGGATGCATTCTATTAGTTGTGTATGTTGATGACATCGTGATCACTGGCAGTGATGCGAGTCGTATTTTGAAACTGAAAGCTTTCCTTGCTACTCGCTTTCAGACCAAAGATCTTGGGCCCTTGAAGTACTTCTTAGGGATAGAAGTCTCACGTAGTAACAAGGGAACTTACTTGTCTCAAAGAAAATACTGCCTAGATGTGCTAAATGATGCAGGTTTGGTTGAGGCAAAACCGTGTGATGCTCCGATGATCCCAAATGTAAAGTTAACAGCTGATGAAGGTGACTTGCTGGAAAATCCTGAGGTATACCGAAGGATTGTTGGGAAACTGAATTATTTGACTATCACGTGACCTGGTGTTGCTTTCCCGATCAGTGTGGTCAGTCAGTTTCTGTCCACTCCACGAACATCAAACTGGGATGCAGTTACTCATATCCTAAGATACTTGAAAGGGGCTCCAGGGCATGGGATATTATATCAAAACCACGGACATCATGTTATTGAAAGGTTTGCTGATGCGGACTATGCTGGAAACCCTAATGATCGACATTCCACCACTGGTTACTGTGTCTTTGTTGGAGGAAACCTTGTATCTTGGAAAAGTAAGAAGCAAAATGGTGTCTCTAGATCAAGTGCAGAATCTGAATATCGAGCTATGGCACAGACTACATGTGAGCTGGTTTGGCTTCAGCATTTGCTTGGTGAACTTGGATTTGCTCAAACAGAACCCATGAGATTATGGTGTGATAATCAAGCGGCTATACATATAGCAAATAATCATGTTTTTCATGAGAGAACAAAGCATATCGAAGTTGATTGTCACTTTACTCGAGAAAAGGTACAAGATGGTACAATTTGCACTTCACACATCAAAACAGGAAACCAACTGGCAGATATGTTCACCAAGGCTCTACCGGGGACACGTACCAATTCCATCTGTACCAAGCTGGGCATGATTAATATCTATGCTCCAGCTTGAGGGGGAGTGTTAGAATATACATATTTAATAGTCAATATATTCCAATATATTCTATGTATATATATGGTAGCTAATATATTCTCATAGACTAAATATTCTAGGTAAATCTGACAAATTTAGTTTCCTTTTTGTATTCTCTAGCTTGTATGTATTTATACTGGCCATACCTAATGATAATGAAGTGTGATTTCATTGCATCTTTAATCCCTATTACTCAGTTTACAATTGGAACTCACCAGGGGCCAAAAGATCTTGAACATTCAGCTAAAACAACCTGGACACAGAATGGTCGCTCAATTATTCAAATCCAGCAAACACAAAATTAAGAAACCTCACAAAGGAATATGACATATTTATAAACATGTAGTCAAGCATGATTGCATATTAATAAATAATACCTCAACATTTTCTCCAAGTATGCCAAGTACAAGGTTCAGCAACTTGTGGGATCTGGAAACTGGCTTTATCTGCATACACTTCTGAGCAAGACTGTACATGCTTTCTAGACCCTACGTGACGAATATTATGCATTTCTACTTCAATACATACAAAGCTAGAAGATAATACACATTCTTTTTTCTCTTTTTTTCTTCGGCCAAGACTACAACTCTACAATGTCATTTACTACATCTAAATAGAGCTAGGCAAATCAGTTGACATTAGGTTTCTTCAGGTTTGGTTCGGTTGGGCACTTGGGCTTAAGCAGAGTGGGGATATTTTATCTCAATTCAACCTGAGCTTCATTTGGTTAGCTGTAGGTTGGTTTGGATTTAGGTTTATTAGATTTTATTGCGCTTTGATGCGTTTTTTTGTTCAATTCAAGTTAGGTTTAGTACAGTTTAGGAAAACCATTCGAACACTGAACTACATGTGGCTCATTTTTTGTCCGGGTTTATTCTGTTTGGTTGGGTGTGGTTTGGTCAAACTGAACTGAAATGCCCACCCCTATATCCGAATAAAAAGGAATGTCAAGTTTACCACTGTGAAAGGCCGGATATATAGCAAGTGAGAAACAAAAAGCTCCATCCAATGAAATGATGCATTTGACACAACAATAGAGTTCCCCAACATGATCTGGAGCATATTTTTAAGTCCTTCCCTAGTCTGTTGGTGCTCACATTGAAGCCAATATGCGCTGCAATCCAATTTAGTTATTTGTGCTCGCCACTTTTCCCATGCCTAAACAACAAAAGTGGATCAAGAATCATACAGTAATGGACAACGATGTATGAGCACCGAATGACCAAACATACCTTCATAAAATCTGGCTTGGAAGGGTAACATTCACCTAATCTACCAGCTGGTAGATTAGGACGCATTCTGGGCATTTTTGATATGAGAACAGCAATTGTTTCTACCAGTCCATTCTCTGTCTGCTTCAAAAAATAGGTTGTGTACACATTATAATTCAATATGAAACATTTGAAGTCAGCTGATGAGATTGAAAAAAAGTTTGCAATTGCAAATTTGAATGTCACTGTCATCCGATTTAACAAAACACTTTTCAGGATTTTAATAGTTTGTAAAACTACAAATTCTCGCTCAAGATGTGTTTGTGAACAGAGGAATTTGAAAATGACTGCGGTCTTCAATCAAATGATGATTAATGTAGAATTGTAGACTATAAGAATGTATGATGATCTTATAATGCATTATAAGTTTGTCTTGGCTATTGTTGGTTGGTTATTTTTGGCATTTGAATCACCTTATATTCATTTTATAGAGTTTATTTATCAAGATATAAACTAAGTCCCTTAATGCCTTCCCATTCAAAACCTTCCAAAACCACCATCCAACGTCACACTTAAAGTATCACACTATCACCCAGGGAAGTGGGGGGCGCACTCAAGGTGCTAGAGTGCACTATAGGGGCGGGATCTGTCCAATCCGGGTCCGGTTTTTTCTGAACACAAAATTACCCGTATCAACTCAGGTTTTGAAGAATCTAGGACCAGAAAAAAAACCATTATATTCGGTCTGAGACAGGTTTCGGTATTCCAAATTCGGGTAGGGTCGGTTAAAGCCCGAACGAGAAATCATCACACTGCCGTTTTGTTAATCATCACACTGTATTTCAAATAAAATTACTCACAAATACAAATCACATATAATAACACAAATATTAGTCTCCAAAATAGCCAACTATTCAAATCCAAATAATATAATAATATAATATCTTAATACTATGCTTAAGATGCAAATGAATATTTAAATTTTTTATTGTACTTATTTATATTAAGACTTAAGAGTAACAGTTTCAGGATTTGACTGGTCCGGGCCGGGTTATAGATTTTAAGGACCGTTAGTGAGCTCAAATTTTTGGGTCAGGCCTGCACAATTTTAACCAGACCGCCAAAAGAGAAAAGACCCCCAAGACCCGGGCCGGTAAAATCTGTTGGGCCGGTCCTAGGCCATTTTTCAGTTTTCAATTCGATATTTCCCACCTCTACTAGTAGTATTGCCTGAGGCCCAAGGCTAAAAAACGCTCGCTGAATTACGTCAAGCGCAAAGTTTAGAAGATATTATTTATAGTTTTATACTATTCCAGATTTATCAAACATGATATATAAATATTCACTAAAAGTCTACAATTTTGAACTGAATGCATCAGATATGACATAGACATAAAAACCTAGATATTTATGAACTAAATACATCATACTAGCACCAATAAATGAGCCACTAAGTTTATAAACACTTTTGAGTTCTTGCATGTATCTGTTCATGCACCACTCTACTACAGAAGAAAGGTTTTATTGTGAATCACGCACAGAAAAGGATAGTTCATATATGATACGTAGTATCTGGTATAGGACTTCAGATGTCATGTGTCAATACATTCCTTGAGGGTGCATCAGGGTAAGCCAAGTAATGGAAGTGAGTTACTGAGTTAGTGACAAGTAATTACGAGCTCGAAAAATGTCATGCCAACTGACCTCACGAGTTCCTAGCTGATCAAACTGATAAGAACCATGCAAGCGCAGTAGCTTTCCCTGAAAGTGGATATTGGAACTTCACTTAGTTTCCCAATAGCCTGGGACTACATAGCTAGATATTTAAACTGATACACTTACAACAGTATCTAACCAGCCAACTGCCAATGCTGATGATAACACCTCCCAGTACTTGGGATCATTTTCAATGATCTGAGAAGGGCAATTTATTAGTGCAATGCAGTTTAAGAGGAAGATAAACAATATGTATTATTTTAAATATTCTTTCAAACAAATTGAACCAGTGCAATGCAGTCCATTCTCTGTGTGCTTCAAAACAAATACAAATATGAATTATCACCCCACTTGATGTAACGTTTAAAACTTCATTTTAGATACTTAATACAGTCACTCAAATGATATTTACTAATAAAATGGATGACAAGAAATTCGAAATTGAAGTTGTTTAAACCTTCTAAGCATTGAAAATAGAAAATATCCACTACTTTTGCAAAATAAATGATGCTTATTATATGTATTTCCGCACTCCACATTAAACATGGGGGATCTGATATTGCCAACAAAGAACTGCAAATATGAACATTTTTACCGAACAAGAAAGTATCAAAAGGATGGTAGAAGTCGCCAACTGAACCGACTAGTTTCTGCCTCAGCAGAGCATGATCAAGAAAGAACATGTAATATAATCAAGTGCACCTGTAGAGCTACAAGATCTTTCTGAAAATCTACAACTTTCAAATACACTGTCGAGTGGGTTCGAGAAAATAAAGAATCATAGTCCTGTCGAACCAAAGATAAATCAGTGCAACAAAAATAATAGATTTCATCATAGTACGAGAAATGAGTAGATAAGTCTATAGGAATATAGGATTGATTATTACAAATGTAAATAAATAAACAGTCATACAGACAACCAATCAATCAGCCGTTCTGATATCCAAGCTTGAGATTGCTTGTCTACGTAAAACATCTCTATTAGCTCCCATGCACCCTTTAAACACGTGGGTTCCTCAACATTCTATTAACAAATAAACATGTGAGAAACAAAGTTTCATACATCACTTTCAAGAAATCTTACATGGGTATACCTTTAAGACTGCTTTTGGATCTTCAATGACTGAAGTGGGATCTGAATTTTGATTACCAAGAAGGGAATTAATTTCTTTGCTATACTCCTTAATATGCTCCAACCTGATGAATATACAACAGAGTACCTAGTGAGATTAACCATGAAAACTTACACCTGGCACTGGTAATATAGACCTACCAACTATGACCTAAGTTCATCCAAAGCAACTAAAGTGGATAAAGTACTTCCATTTTACTGCCAAATTTCTGGGTTGCACTAATGCTATATAGACTTATAGTGGCACTGGGATGTAGGCAACAGAAGGAAAGGATATTAGTTTAAGCACTATAACTCAGTATCAGACATTAAAACCTGTTTGTTCATGCCTTAACCCGCTACTTGTTATTTTGTTAGGAAATTGCAACTTACAAAGCAAGATTTATTCGTTGAACTTCTCGCGTGTTTCTCCAATGGTGACTATTTTTCATATTATAATCAAGAACTTGAATTCCAAGGTTTCGAGAGGTACCACTCAGCATTGTAGGGATGGGAACCAGCCGACATCTTCGACAAGGCAGCCACAGAGTTCTTCCGACTCTGAAGAAGTGCGAAGGGAGTCACAGAACGATACGTGATTTTCCTCCACCTCACAGCATCGATCTCTTCATCACCGGTGTTGCTAAGGTTCAACTCAACCACGACTCCACTAGCCTCTCTGTCTCCGGACCCAGCATTGTTGATGTCCGGCTTCCGAATGAGAGTGACGCGGAGAGTGTTCCCACGCACCCATGAGATTGAAGTGCGATGAATTGGGGGTTTAAGCCTGTGGCGGAGGGGGTAGAGTGTTGGGTCACTGTAATCTGATGGAACTGTTGATAGGTCGCCGGAATCCGTCACGATGCCAGGCATTTCGCTGTAAATAGCCGGCTTTACTTCATTCAGGGCTTGACGGTGGGGTTTTGGGATGGAAACTCTTTTGTTTATAATCACAATGTTTCTATTTGTTCCTTCTTTTCTATTTTCACCCTTCATTTATTTACCTTGTTTGTATATTCCTTTATTTAGTTACTATAAGATTTTTTTTATTCAATTTTCTTTTGATAGTTTTTTCATTGTTTTTCTCCCGCATCTTTATTTTCTTTCATTTTTATGTATTCCTCCTATTCATTGTAGCCTTTTTATAATTATTTTCAGACTGCTTGTTTATATCTTTCTTCGAATTTTTTATTTCTTTTTATTCTTTTTTTCCCTTCGTCGTCTCCGCCATATAATATGTTATTTGTTTATTTTTCTTCTTTCCTTTTCACTCCATTTGTTTTCGCTAGTGTTGGACCAATTAATGACTTCTGACTTAATATTAGTGTTGAACAGAATAAGTGGAAGTAAGAAGAAAGTAAAGTAAAAAAATTAGTATGGTGAGAAAAGGATCTTTTGTAAGAAGGGAACTAATCCGAAAAAGTACATAAAAGATGAATTATTATTACTATAATAATAATTATAATTATTATTATTATTATTACTTTGAGTACTATTATTACAGTTATTATTACTATTATTATTGCTATTATTATTATTATTACTAGTATTACCACTACTACTATTACTATTATCATTTTACTTTTATTATTATTAATAATATTATTATTAAAATTATTATTCTTATTATTTATTACTACTGTTGTTTTTGTTGTTTTTGTATTTTATTATAAATATAGAAACATAACATCTTGCTACTAATTATATTAAAACATGAGCTTAGTGCACTGTATGTATGTATTATTATTATTATTATTGCTGCTACTACTATGTTATTATTAATGTAGGTTGTTTGCATAATAATCAGTTATGAATATTGTTATCATCATAATCATCACTTGCTGTTGTTTTTCTTATTATAACTAGACGAAATACTTGTGCGATGCACGGGGTATATCTAGAGTATACTATAAAAACTTGTTTAAAATTATACTATGTATTTTGTTATTATGATTCGTAATTTGGTAATGTGTAATGTTTTATATAGAAAAGAGAGAGTACAATATTTATATAAAGTATTTCGTAACTTGCATTATATAATAATGTTCTTTTGTAGGCAAATGAAAAATGTAAATAGTATGAAAAATTGCAAGTAAAATGAAAATGTAGACCATGTATAGTCGTATAGATCATATAAGGAAAAATAATAGTTCTTTCATCTCACTCAACATTGCACACTTTGATTTGAGTGTGAAATAAAAAATTAAAAGTTGCGTGGTTGAGATATATGCAGAGGACAAAGAAATAAGAAGAATCACAAATTCATTACTTTTAAAGAAAAATGACAAAGTTTTTGAGACAAATAAATACGAAAATTGTCAAAGTTGTGGGACGGAGGGAGTAGTAGTATAATGTTTAGCTTAAACTGAGAACTTCACAAATGAAGTTGTGAAAATGAGAGCAATGCTTTAAATTAATTGTCATTTTTCCTATAAAAATATATAGTATTGTTTACCGATCATTATGGTTTTTGTATTTTAATAACAATCACTTTCTTTATAAACAACACGTATTAATCTTTAATATTTCCAATGGTTTTGTAATTTATGTTTCATATTACATTGTAATAAATAAGGTATGGTGTAATACCATTAAATTATCTTTAATAAAAATGCATTTTTTTATAACTTGATTTAGGCGGTGCTTATGATAATATAAATTGGTGATACAAATATATATATTTTTGTCACTCAAGATCATGACTCATATTGTTAGAAAAGTTGGTTTAATCAAATATAAGTCACATATTTATAGGATTCTTGATTTGTTAGCATTAATATTTATAGTTAGAGTTCTCAATTTATACATCATTTCTTTTTTCATTGTACCTATTGGGTGCACAAATCTCGTCTATATAAATCCTTAGCATGTGTTATTACAAAAAAAAACGAAAAAAGAAAAACAAAGTTAAATCAAGCTAAGACATTGTTAGCTAGGCACCAGTGCACCACTCATTTAGTATGATCGAATTTATATATCTAAATCCGGAAATTGCCTTACATAAAAGGAAAAATAGAAGTACTATGTATTACATTTGTTTTCTCTAAATAGAAAACAATAATGCCATTATTGAAAAATACTCTCAAACCTTTAGCTTACTTGAGAATATTAGTGATTTAGTACCTATTTGGTTGTCCTGTTTTTTGACTTATCAACCAACTTTTATCAAACACGTAACTTTTGATTTCGCGTACTGAATTATTTAATAATCAAAATATGTTAGGTTGAATTAGTTATTTTTCTGACTAAATTGACTGATGTTATTGTAGAGAATCATATTAGCTATTTTCATATAATTTTTTCTTTGATTTTTTAATAAAATATTTTTGAAATATAATATTTTTCATAAATCAGCAAAATAAGCCACTTCAGCTAGAACTTCATAAATTTTAGCAGAATCAACCGATACAGGAAATTTCTATGCTGTTGAACATGTCCTTAATCGTTTTTTAGGGGGAGTTGATATTATTACGTACTTTAGAATTTCACATTATTTTTACTCTTAATTTGAGAAAATTACCATCTCAATTTAAGTTTGTGAACATTCACTATTTTAACCGTCAATATAGATTAAATATTGTTTATGAATTTTGATATATGTTTTGTAACAATTGGATTACGATTAAAAAAGTTACAACACTTTAAAAAACTAAAGTTTTTTTAAAGTGCTTAATTTTTTGTTTACTTTGATATATGTAATATTAGTTTTATTTAAAAGATAATAAAAAATTATGAATTTTATATTATATAAAGATAAAGATAAAATTATTATTCTACATTCATTTTTTACTATACGATTATTATATGAAATACACTAATAGTCATACCAAATTTTATCACATACGTAATATAAAGGGAGTAATTTACGGCACACAATATGGCATATATTGATGGCAATATTTCCATTTATTTATAATTATTCACAAAACTAATAATCTTATGTATACACCGTATTATATAAAGATGGTATGGAAAATAATTTCTACTTACCTTGCTTGTAGTGATAATCTTATATTCCAAAATTTGGAGCAACTCTTGTTAGGAGTATTATATAAAGATACTCCATATTATATAAAGATGGTATGGAAAGGCAAATTATACCGTGCAACCGGCGCACCATGAGTATGGTGCGCCCGGTTGCAAAACTACGCAGCTTGGCCTTCCCCTCTTTGTTTTTTTTTTTGCTTTTGTTTTTAAAAATGATAATAACTTTTTTATTTTTGATCCGATTTTTATAAAATTTATATCAACATTTTTTATTTTTCATTATCTTTCAAATGAGACCAATATTGCTAATGTAATTTTAAGAAATTATCGAACTATTATATTAATGAGTATTGGATTATAAGAAAAATCGAATCTGTTTGGGAGATGATAGGTTTGTGAAATAGAAGATCGAATCTGTTTGGGAGTGGATCAGTGGCCTCAATTACATTTGATAATACAATGAGTTACATCTTTTTATGAGCGAGTTACATCTTTTTATAAGCAAGTTAAATCTTTTTATAAGCAAGTTACATCTTTTTATAAGCAAGTTACATCTTTTTAAAAGCGAGTTACATATATATAAACACGAGTTGCATTTGACATGCCTGAACGCGACTTACATATATTTACACGTAAAGTTACATATTTTTACACGTAAAGTTACATATTTATACACGCGAGTTACATATTTATACACACGAGTTGCATTTTACATGTCTGACCGCGAGTTACATATTTTTTTACGTAAAGTTACATATTGTTACACGTAGAGATACATATTTATACACACGAGTTGCATTTGGCTTGACTGAACGTGAGTTACATATTTTAACACGTAAAGTTACATATTTTACACGCAAATGTTAATATGTTAAAATTACATAGGCAATATTGGTCTCATTTGAAAGATCATGAAAAATAAAAAATGTTGATATAAATTTTATAAAAATCAGATCAAAAATAAAAAAGTTATTACCATTTTTTTAAAACAAAAGGGAAAAAAATATAAATCCGTACCCGGTATACGGTGCTCACCGTATACCGGTTGTACGGTATAGGCACTCGTATGGAAAATAATTTCTACTTACCTTGTTTTAGTGATAATAAGCGACTAAACAGAATTACAATTTTATATGGCACTTTGGTTTACAAATATGTCATAAAATTAGCGGCAATTTTCTCTTCGAAAACTCCAACAACTTTGCTACTTCAAAAATTGACTATATATGTTACTATCTTAACACCGTAAACAAATTAACAATGTTAATCAATTAGCTCCCCTTATAGTAAAAGGCAATACCACCAAAATTACAAATTCTATGTATATACATTAAAAATAGAATGTTTTCTTAAATTTCAACTAATGATGTCTAAAACGATAATATATGCGTTTATAATAATATATGCGTTTATAATAATACTCCCTCCGGTTCTAAATAAACTTCACACTTTGACTTCACACAAATTAAGGAAATAGATTTGACTTTACTCTAGAGTACACTATTTGACATTGTTTGACACTGTTTGGCACTGTTTTGCACTGTTTTGATGTAGATAATTTGCCAAATAAGGAAGAGAGAAGAAATGTGAAATTTATTTTGGACCTACCCAAAATGGAAAGTTTGAAGTTTATGTAGAACCGGAGGAAGTACTTAATAGTCGGACCTACAATACGACAACATGAATGCTAGCTTCACTGTAGATGTCATACCCTAACCCTTGCACGGGTAAGGCAAGCACTGGTGCTTCGGTCAAACGTTTCTTTAACTCAAGAAACCCCTTCTCACATTTGTCATCCCACACAAACTTAGCCCCCTTTTTAGTGAGCTTCGTGAGTGGAGATGCTATCACCGAGAACTTCTCCACAAATTTGCGGTAATACCCCGCTAAACCGAGAAAACTCCTTATCTCCTTCACATTCTTGGGCCTCTCCCAATTAGTGACCGCTTCAATCTTTGAGTTATCAACTGAAATGCCCGAGCCCGATACCAC